GGGAGAGAGAAGACCTGCAGCCGGGCACAGAGGTGGATTGATAAAGGACTCAGGTAAGTGATTGGGAGGGGGGAAACTAGTACTGGAAGATTTGTTTTTTTTTTTACCTTAATGCAGAGAATGCATTACGGTAAAAAAAAAAAACTTTAGAGTTTACAACCACTTTAAATGTTGTATTTCTTAAATAATTTGTGATTTTCCTCATTATACTTAAAACATTCTAGTACAAATAGTTTGGTTGCACTGTTTTATTCATTAGGCCAAACTATGTTGATAATGCTAGTGGTACTTACCTGTGCATAATTTCCACTGCAGATGGCTCCCTTCCAGTCTGGGACGTCCAAACAGCCAGGATTTCTCAACAGCCAGTTATCATCCTTCACCAAAAATGCCCCTGGATATTCTGACACCGAGCCATCTACATCATGAAAAACTGTGGTCTTGTCCCCATCCATATTCATTTGATTAAACCATGGGCCAGGTTCACCGAAGAAAACTCTGGAGGACATCTGAAATGGTGGGACTTTTAGTAATTACACATTCTAAATTTCTTAGGTCAGGCAAATCAGATATTGTAAGGTGAAAAGGAATTAACTTTGTAGGCAACATTTACTATTTGTTCCCTCTTGCTTCTCCAATTTTTGAAGTACCTGAACTATGAACCCAGCTTTCATGCCTAGAACATAGAGGGACTGTAAGGCTGGGTTAGCAAGGGAGAATGTCACCAGCACACCGAGGATCACCAACATGGGTTCAAAAGTTTTAATGAAACGTTGCCTTGCTGTAACTATGTGATCATTCATTAAAACTTTTGGACCCATATTGGTGTTCCTCTGTGTGCTGGTGACATTCTCCTTTGCTGATTCTGTTCGGTTCCAGCTGACGGTCACTGCAGCACCCACTTATACACACAGCCATTTTTAACAGGAATGTGTGCGTTTGGATTGTACGCTTGCATTCTGTAAGGCTGGGTTCACACATCATAGTGGATCGCTTTTCAGAGCATGGCTAAACAGCAAAGCAACACTGTCAGGCATTCCTGCTGCATTCTGCATGAATCCCAACATGTTTTGCTTATCAGGCTTCCCCAGGCGATACAGTCTATAAAACTGAAGGAACTGAGAAAAAGATAATCAATGCCTCATAACATATGTATTTTGTTGCAACACACTATGTAGTGTAGTCTTTATCCCCTGAGGAAGCCAGATAGGCGAAGCATGTTGGGATTCATCACACCTTGTGTGTGTATGTGTGTGTATATATATATATATAAATAAAATTCAGAACTATCATGTGTGAGATTTATCCGCATTGAAATCTCCAACTTTTTTCTTTAATTGTTTTTTGAACTTTATACATGCAATACATTTTGATGGTTTTATCTAGAAGTATGTGTCACATTGAATGACTGTGCACCCATAAAGTCCCATTTCTTGAAGAGTGTATTTTTCATCCTTCCTTTCGTGTATACTAAAAGATGTAGTTTAGTGGCAGTGTCTAGCATTCCCTGACATGTCATCAGACAGAGACTGTACTTGTGTAATATCATTCAGACTTGGCCTGAAGATTTGGCTGCAACAGCAGTCTCTTTCAAATAAATGCTTCCTTGTCATTTGGCACCATCAGTCACAGACCTGACACATTTCTATCCAAAGAAAAAAACGGCAGAAAATAGATATTAACAAATCTTAACCTTTACGCTCCATTATACTAAAACAATCTGCATGCATGTGTAAAGTATAGGCACTATAGAGCCATAGAGGCCAGTGCAGATACTACAGGGCACAAGGGGCATGGGAGTTGCTCCAAATCTAAAAAGGAATTGTGAAAATTAAACTAATTGGCTTTTACTGCAATAATTTTCTCACAATGAACATTCACTATGATCCCTAGCTTAGGAGTTAAAAAGTGCAGACTACTTTTTTGTACATTGACCACACAGTGAGCCCTCTACTCCTATCAACCTAGTTCCAGCCAGGGCTTTTTTTTCAACGAGAACGCGTAGGAACGCAGTTCCAACACTTCCAGCAGTGAATTAATGTAATGACAAGGAGTGCTGGAGGGGCTTGATGATGGCTGCTGGGGATCTGTTGGGGATCTGTTGTCACTGGAGGGGATCTGTTTTTGCATTGTGGAGGTATATTGTTGCTAGAAAGGGATCTATTGTTGCTGAGAGGTCAATTGTTGCCGGAAGAGATCTACCATTGAGGAAGGGGTCTATTGTTGCTTGCTGATGGAGATTATTGTTGCTGGGGTGGTATTTATTTGTGGGGGTCAATTGTTGCTGGGGGAATCTTTTGCTGTTGGCTGCAGGGCATCTATTTTACTGCTTTTCTTGTTATAATTGGAAAATTCTATACAAAATGATACTTGGCTCTGTATTCTCTAAAAGGAGCAGTACTGGGAGGCGGGTAGGGGCTGGAATCAAGGGGCCATGCTCGGAAGTAAGGGGGTGGAAACAAGGGGTGACTCAGAAGGAGGGAGTTCTTGCACCTATTCTCTGAGGAAAAAAAGCCCTGGTTCCAGCCGATCACAAATAAGAAGCTCCTCTGGTTTGGTACACAGCACAACAGCAACTCATGAGAAGAAAGCTAAATTTCTAGTTATCATGAATATTGTGGAGTAACTCGTTCAGACTGCCTGGTTACCCATATTAAGCAGTATAAAAAAGATCCCTATAGAGAAGTGGTGTATTATGGGCCATCCTGCTCTGATTATCAGTGTTTAGTGGGTGCATATTCCCCTGAAATTTATGGGAGCCCCATTAAAATTCTGCTCTGGAGCCATGCAGTTTATAGTAACATCTAAAGCTTGTGTTCTTGAGAAGCCCATATGCCCCCATGCCTCTTTGTCAGAACTAGAAACTAACACAGATATTGAAATATTTTCTTTATATTTTCATTGTAACATCTGAGACAGTGTCACATTTTGCAATTTTAGGATTATTGTACAAATCCATAGGGATTGGGAGTGTATATCCATAGTGGGCACTATAGACAACTTCACACAAAATTGGATAGTCATAGATCTAGTGAACAGTTTCAAACAAACTCAGGCATGTCATGCAGTACATCATATGTCTTAAAATTGGGTTCATGTCAGACACACATATACATTTTTCATAAAAAATATTCTGTTAAGATTTTAACAATAGTGTAGGAAGTGTATGAATATTTCATTATTATACTTCTAGCAAATAGATGGAATTCTGTGCTTTTTTTTTCATGTCTACTACTAGCAGTTTCTCTAAAAACACAGCGTTCACAGAGTTCAAAAGCTTAAATTTGGATTTACATAGCTGAAAAGTGACTTTTTCCTCCTTCATCCCAGCCCCCCACTTACACTTTTCAGATTGAATTGGACAGAGTAAACAGCTACTGTTCTCTCTCTTCAAAACCAATTTGTTATTTTTTTTAATTGTTTTAAATACAAATTAAAAAAAAAAAACATTCTCCTAAAATGTACAAACTTAAAAAAAAAAACAATTTACCCAAAACAAATATAAATGTATATATGTGTAGTTTCATTTAAAAAAGTCAGAAAGCATATTACAATGAAGATGTTCATGTGTTGTTTCCAGCCACCAGGCTGTGGCCCACCATTGGGCTATGGCCACCCTACTTCTGTGCTTCAACCAGTTGCTTACCTCTAACCTCCCACAGTGGCTTCCAGCTCCAACAGTGCCACCAAACCTCCCATAGTGGTCTGCAGTGCTGCTCAATCTACCACAGTGCCCCCAGGTTCCCTGAAAGCTTTCAACTCCAACAGTTCCCCCTAACTTGCTGTAGAGCCTCAGGTTCCCTCATAGTACCCCTAGCTTCCAACAGTGTCCCACAGTACCCCCTTGTTTTTGCAGTGCACACCAGTCTCCAACAGTGTACTGGCAAAGCTCCCAGCCTGCTGGAGATATCTCCAGACCCCAGGAACATCATTACCTAAAGGGCCACCAAGTCTGCTGTAGAATCCCCTTACCCTCTCCAAATCCCCAACCCACCCACAGTAACATCCAGCCCCATCCAGAACCATTAAGCATTTCAATTCATATTTTCCTATATTTTATTGGGAGAGTATAGACTCTTATTTTACTGTTGGGGAATGGAAAGTTTTGGAATAATCTACTGGGCCCTTGTCTCAATAAGGTAGAGAACCACTGGCCTAAAAGACAGATATATTTTATTAGGTTACTTTAGATTTTGCACTGTTCTCATTTTGCCTTTTTACAAAGTAAGTTAAAGAATAAGTTCACCTTTCGTAACATGTTACGCCCATATTGGGAATGTAACGTCTTACAATTGGACCAGCCCCCGTACCCCCCGATCCCGTTGTGACAGCTATCGGGGGATCTTTTCCTCCCTGCTAGCTTTCACAATTTAAAAAAAAAAAGTGCGGCTGCGTGGGGATCCGCCTGCTGGGCCGTGTCCCTCATTCTCAGTATTTAGTGAATGGTAAAACTACAAGTCCCAGCAGGCTTTGTGGCTGTCAGCTTGTAGTTTTCAATAAACTACCATGGAGCTCTACAGCGCCATGGTAGTTCATTGAACCTTCCTGTCTGTAAGTATCTGCTTGCCTGTACGGGATGTACGAGCAAGCAGATATACAGACAGGTCAGAAGGAGACCTGTATGGCACCAGCGATCTGCTTTAGAGGCTCCACAAACAAAAAATAATGCTCATTTTTTTATCTGCAAAAAAATGTACATTTATTATTTTTTGTTAAAAAGTGAACTTATCCTTTAATTCTTGTTCCAATGTACAGCCTTAGGCTATGTAATTAAATAGCCTTTAGTACATTACTTTAACTTCATAAGCTGCTAAAGGCATATTAGAAAATCGTGTCACATGGGAGGAGAAACTTACAGGCACATCTTCAAATGTGATTTTAGTCACATTGTTGCTGGGACAGCTTTGCCATGAGTTGTTCAGGCGGAAACCAATTGCGCTGGTGTGTCTTCCCTCCAGAGAGACATATTTGCGAAATGTGCAGTTTTCTACATTGATTGGTCCATCATAGATTTGTATACCCCGAATAGGAAAATTCCTAAATACAAATAAGAAAATGTTAGTCCTTCTAAATTTTGTACTGTAGCTATCGAGTCACAAGTAATTCAGTATTTTAGTACTCACACTCCTCTAGGTAATGTCCTTCCACTGTGATCGAGACCTCCAGGGCCCCATATGAGGTTGTCTGTCATTTCTGTGCCCACATTGTTGCTCTCCCCAACAAATAAGCTATTTTTAATTTCTTGTTTGGATCCATCATCATCGGGAAAGGTCCCTCCACTAGAATAACAATTTATGTAAATGAAAGGCAATAGCGCACTTTTGACTTAACTAATATAGGTAAAATATAAAAATAACTACCTTGCCAGAGTTAGGCTGATGCCATTATCAGAAAATCTGCAGAAAAACAAAAAGCAACAGTTAATAGATGAGAAAAATCATTTTTAAGACTGCAGGCTTGGGACTGGCAGTTCTCGCATTTGTCAGAAGGACTCATCTAAGAGTAAATGAAGACAAGTAGGAGATCCTCAACCCTAAAAGGGACCTTTTAGGCATCTGCAACTTCTGATTTGCTTTGAAAGGCACAATCTTCAAGTGTGTTATCATCATCTTTCTTTCAAAACTTGTATCATTGATTCAAACAAGCAAGTTTGTATAAGATGTCCCAGCACTTTTGTGGATCCATGCTTGTTTCAGGTCAGAGACTAAATAATTAGTGAAGTCAGTAAAGCTGCCCATGCATTGATCAAAATTTGTCCGGTTTAGCAGGGACTGGCTGAATTTCGATCCATGTATGGGCAGGGAGGTTGTACTGAAGTCGATCTACAGATTGACTTCCGTACAGCCACCCTGTCAGATTTTCCCTGCAGCACTGATCAGTGTATTCTGACAGCCGGGAATTCTGCCTGCTGTCAGAATACAACAACTCAGTGGGAAGGATTCCCCCATCCACCTCAAATGTGTGGATGGAGAATCAAGTCATTTATTTTCGTTCAATCTGCTGATTGAAGAAAAAAAAAAACATCTATGCATCTATGGACTGCTTTAAGACATAAACTTGCAATTTCTAAAGACAAAAAATCAATGGCAGCTCACATATTTCGATCTTGTCAAGTCTTTTTGATAAAATAGCGAAGTTTACTGTAAAATATATGCTTTTGCAATATGACCTCACAATGGTACTGAGCTGTAGTGGTACCATGAAATAAACTGAATTGTTCCACATTATTAATTTTCTCTGAGCAACCTTTTGTAATACATCCCTATGGATGCAAAGGCTGTTAAAAACATCAGTATTAGCCTAGACCGGGTGTCGGCAACCCGCGGCTCCGGAGCCGCATGCGGCTCTTTTTCACCTTTCCTGCGGCTCCGGAGCACACTGCCCACCAGGTGACAGGCAATAGGGTCGGCAAGCCGCGGCTCTTTTAATGCATCTCTTCTATGTGCCGGGCGCCCGCTCCCCTCCCTCCTCCAAACATTGGCTGTCAGGATGTAGGCGGGGCAGCGTGACGAACTCCTCTCCTCTCACAGTCCGCCCTGAAGACCAGAACGGCGCGGGAACACAGCTAGAGGAACGCGCGGAGCAAAGGTAAGTGAATTGACACAGGGGGGATGAATTACTATAGGGGGGATGAATTACTATATGGGGGATGAATTACTATAGGGGGGATGAATTGCTATATGGGGAATGAATTACTATGGGGGGATGAATTACTATATGGGGGATGAATTACTATGGGGAATGAATTACTATATGGGGGATGTATTTTCAGTTTTAAAAATGTTTCTCTCAAAATAAATTTCAATCGTGGTTTTGGTGAGATTTGGCTCAGTTGAAAAAAAAGGTTGCCCACCACTGACCTAAGGCTATGATTGTGATTATGACGATACACTGTGTGCCCTGGTTAACCCTTTGCTTACTGGGCCCTTAAACCCCCTTCATGACCAGAGCGCTTTTCGCAATATATGCAGTGTCGGATTTGTTTTAAATGTTGCAATGGTTTTGCGGCTCCCAGTCTTTTTTTCCCTCTCGGAAAGGGGTCCAAGTGGCTCTTTATGTCTTAAAGGTTGCAGACCCCTGGCCTAGACAATTACTGTAGGTTGCTCAAAAGCTTTCCAAGTTGAGAATTTCCTTACAGTAGCCAACCTGCAAATGTGATCTCATCATCTCATCAACAAACCAGAGTCATCTTTAAAATGATTGGTTAACAATATAAGGCAGGAAGTATTTTGACAGGGAACCTCTTTTTTCCAGCTGTTGGCCTCAGTCACATTGTTTGCTGTATTAGAAAATGCCATCTGCCATTGGTTATGGTAGTCGATCTGAATACTTGCACTATAAACAGGAGGCTTAATATCGCAGGCTGTAAAAATTCTAAACTTACTGGCAGCTATCCAGCCAAACATCTCCACCCCGCAGCCAGGCTCCATGGTCCTGGTTCTTGTAAGCAATAAAATGCTGGATTATTGCAGGTACTCTTGGCTTGAGGGGATCAGCATCCTGATGTGGCCCATATCTGTTGAGTAGTTGAAAATGGCATAAACAAATTTCGTGCACAAAGGAAAAGTCGTAGTATGTATGATCTGATATGATTCATGTATTTTTAATAAAGTTTTATTGTTGTAGTTCAAAACAAAAACAGACAGGATTAATGCTTAAAGTGGTGATATGGTACACGCAGTGCTGTAAAGACAACCATTTTTGGGGGTTTTCTAGTATTTCTTTAAAATTTACAAGTATTCTGAAACTGACATTTCATCATTGGTTATTGTTTTTCATTACAACTTTCTTTCACCTAGGTAAATATCAAAACTACTGAGAGGTTAGAAGCTTTGAAATTAGTTATTCTCTTGTACAGTGTAACTGTTAAACTGGTCATAGGAGTAAAATGATGATCAATTATTTTTACAAATGCTCTGGCATCCAAAATGTTACAATTGTGTCTGGAATAGGTGGTGAAAAGAAGTCTTCCAATGGGGACGCTTGTTTTTAGGGACAACTGTCTAATAGAATTCCTCTCACTTACTGTTGTGTCTGTGGGACATGTTAAAAATCTGATAGAGGTTTTAACTACTCTACTGTCCAAAAAGTGAAAAACACCTAAAGTGCAATTGAACATAACAACATCCCCAGTGTCTACTAACTGGGTAATTTAGTAAGTGTAAGCTTCTTATTCCAATACATAAGTTTTAATTTTTAACCGTGATCCAATCAATGTGAAGATTGGCCTCTTATCCTTATCGCTGGCTTCTGTGGTTTTCACTCCATTATCAATGATCATTCCTGCCTGTTCAAACAAATGGGAAATTAAAATCAATTTCTGATAGGGACCTAAGCATTCCCTAAATGAAATCCTGCTCTTTTTCTAAAACAGTATATCATATCTATTAGTTTTCTTTTCTATTATATTTGTCTTCTAAAAGAATTTTAAAAAGCATATACAGATTTCTTTTTCTTCTTGTAGTTTCAAAATATTTTCAAGTCTCTACTTTCAGTGCTCATTTTTGTATGAAATGCCAATATTTAGTGGAGTAGGTGAAAAGAGCTTTCATTTCCACCCCAGTGCTCTTACACCTATCCTTCTTGGCATGTGGGCATAGCCTAGTTATACTCTGAATCTGTAATGTCATTATATAAAGAAATACAGAGAGGAGTGTCAGACCATAATGAGATAAGAGTCAAGATAAAAATTGTTGAGAAAATAGTCATAGCCAACAAGTTTTGGGGTAAACGCCATCCCCCCATCATCAGGGCTTCATCAAGATGGACTCAGAGAAACCAGTGACTTCACAGATCTCGATTAGGACCATATTGGAACAGCAATGGAGGATCTGAGTGCATCCACTGGTTTGCCTGAGTCAATTAAATTTTTATCCTGTTTTGAGCCCTGATGATGGGGGAGAGGTGTTGCCCCCAAAATGCATTGGCTGTTTTTAATGTGACTTTTTAATATCAAGAATTAAAATTATCTTCGACTCTTTATCTGATTATAGTCTGATGCTCCTTACCATATTTCTATAGTTTGAGCTACTGTTGGGTGCCCATCGGGGGAAGCCACCTCGCCAGAGTTATTAAACTTGTCTGAAGTTTTCCTTCACGTGTCTACACATGCATGTCTAAAAGTTCCCAGTGTCTTTTTGAGTATGTTGTTCTGGAGATCATTATAGATAGGGAAGGTATAGTATCATGGTGGGCCTTGCCTAAACCTTAAGTTTCAACAAATATGAAAGACAACAGAGTAGAAGAAAGTCACAAACCCACAGACATTTAAAAACTCAATATACAGATATAAAAATAAGTGTATAAATGTACTTCAATAAGAAAGAAAATCTATGAAGTCAAACCCACCCTGTAGTTGGAGTGTGCTCGATTATTATGGAATGTTCCTAAGGGAGTGTGCTCAGAACGTCCCGGGGCATACAATCCCTCAGAGGGCCCTGTCGGTACATGGTGAAAGATGAACCAAAATCCGGTTTCCTGGGAAAAAATAAATCAAAATGTCAAATACTATATATTGTTAAACCTATTATTTACCATATGAATAAACCACACTAGACGTTTCACTAAGATTCTCCAGAAGTGCTTATTTAACATGAAACAGAATGTGTTGGATTATGGCTTCTGTGATATTTTATTTTTTATGTCTTCTAGGTCTATGTGAGGCATTTATATCTTCTCAATGGTCATAAAACAAAGCTTTCCTGGCCTGAATATCAAGGTGAGAATTAGTAAATTTAACGGAGCCTCTAATTATTTAACATGCTTCAGTGAACAAAGCTCAGCGTGAGCTTGTATTGGATTCCAAATGTAAGGTAACTTATAAACTCTTCCAGATGGACTAATAATTTATAGCCACTTTAAATTTACTTTGGGAATAGTGCCTTTTGTATTCCATTGTATGGTTAAAATGAGCTGACAATAAAAAGAAATCCTAAGGCCATCACTAAAGCACTTACTTCGGAGCCAGCAGCAGAGCAGTTGATGAGATTGTTGTTGGGATTGGCTATCCAAAATGTAGACACAGCACTAACGATAAAGATAAAATAACATTACATAAATACAGGATGTTGTGTGATCAGTAGAAATATTTTATCTGGTAGAAGACCTTTCTTCTTGTAAAAAGTAATAATATCTAATTCCCTGACCCATGTACAAGCAATGACACAACTAGTAGTTAACCATTAAAGGTTTTAAAAGGCTTTGAATATTCAGGCACAGTGATCTTCTCCAGTTTGGTTCCATGTAAGATTAGTTCAGTTTGACTGGGTCTTTTGCTGACCAGTTTGGCCAAATCAAGGAAATTAAAAATAAGGGACCTACTAACAGGATGTTATAAAAAAAATACTCCAGTAAAAAAAAAAAAAATAAAAAACTGTGTTAATGTTATTGACAAACTTTATCGCATAAGTAAAATTATTTATTTTACCAATAATTATTCTTCAAAACCAAGATCATTGTCTGTGCTTCAGCTCACTATAGTACAAGGTGGTATCAAAAGGTTTCAAGACTAGTTTTGTAACACGCCAACAGATGGCAGCACGAAGCTGCACACACAGTCACAAGGAGCACCAACTTTCATAAGTCCGTGTGCCAGAAGACATTGCCCTGTGTACATTGGGAGCTGTGCAACTGGTGCTATTCTGACTATGTGCATTACCACGTCTGCTATTTCATCATGGACAGCAAGTTAGAACAAAGAGCAAACAAGAAAGTTTGAAACTGGGCAAATATACCACAGAGACATTTGACAATAAGTGTGTTACTGCCAAGTTCATCCCCATGCTGCTGACCCAAGAGCAGAAGGAACACCACATCAAAGTCTGCCAAGAATTCTATCAGCATGCTGTGGGTGACCCATCCTTCATGTTGAGGATCATTATCGGTGACGAAATGTGGGTGTATGGGTTTCACACAGAATTTCATGTTTGCTCTTTGTTTTAACTTGCTATCTCTGATGAAATAGTGGACGTGGTAATGCATGTGGTCAGAATAGCACCAGTTGCACAGCTCGTAATATAGACAGAACAATGTCTTTTGGCACACTAACTTATGAAGGTTGGTGCTCCCTGTGACTGTGTGTGCAGCCTTGTGCTGCCATTTGTTGGTGTGTTACGAAACTAGTCTCTAAACTTTTTGATACCATCTCATACTGAACTCATGGCCAGCCAGCCATGATTCATATAACTTCCTCAAAAAACTCGTAATACTTTTACATGCAACCATGGAAACATGATTTCAATTTAATTTTATTTTCTACAATCCTAAAACACATAAAAATAAAAAAGTGAAACTTGAGGGGCATAATATATTTTTCAGCCATGCTATATTGTAATGTCAATAACTGTATACACCAGCCTTTCTCGACATTTTATTTTTTTTTACCCCAGAGGAGTTCTTCAAATAATTTTCAGGTTTCAAGAAACCCCTGCTAAAATGTATTTATACCCTACAGCTCGATCATTACTATGATCATTAGTTTTCAAAAGTTCTAAGTAAAAGAGGTGGCACACAGAGTTTTTGACATCCAGAATAGATAATTTTTAACACTGCTCTATTCGAAAAATGCGTTTTCAGTAATAATCCTAAATATAGATAATAACGATGGCCAAAAAGTGATACGGTGAAAATTGGAGTGCCACGTTACATTGGTGGTCAGTAAAGAAAGACTCCTTACACTAACACGATAAATTAGTGATCCGTGTAGTACTCCTATACACTGGTTGACAGTGTAAAAGTAATGCCTTAGTTCACACTAGTGCAATTCCAGCACAATTGTGACCCCATAAATATGCAAACTGCATCCAAGTTGCACTATATAATTGCACTGAAAGTCAGATCAAAATTGGATTGCAGCTGTTTGAACCTAGCCTTAGAGTGGTAGCCAGTGGAAAGTTGCAGAAGATCAAACCTCCACTGCTCACTCTTCAACAAAAAAAACCTAGCAAGCTCTCTAGGAAACCTGGTTGGGGAAAGGTGATATACGCACGAAATCAATAATGATCATAAAGATATAAATCGGTTGCCCTACCACTGCTTGCCATCTCTCCTGTCCAAGACATTGTTATCTGTGTATATGTTTTTCATGGCAGTTTTAGTACATACTTGCAGTCTTGTCTGGGTTTAGCCACATATCCTGGGAAGGAGCCTTCAGTAATAGTTCTGCACATTGTATTGTCTCTGTCAGAAGGTAGTAACGTTCCTGCTTTGATTAGAAGTCCAAGACAGTGGTCAAATGTATTACGCTCTTCAGGACCATCCTCCGTGAAGAAACAGTGACCAAGAGTGTCATAGCCAACCACATCCTTTACCTAAGCAAAAAAGAAGCATGAATACTGCACTGTCTACACTAGATATCACAGATCAACAAAGGCTATACACCCCAACCATTGGTTTTATTAGAACTAGAGGTCAAAAGATGCTTCACTTTTTTCATACATCATTTTTCTCCAAGGCAATCAAGGAGATCAGGCTACTGGCTAAACACACATTTAATTATCTATAATGAAATCTATGGATAGCCTCACTCCCCTTCCCACCAATAGCTTTGCTCTCTATTCTCCAGAGTTCGATAAAATTGCAAAACAAGTCTCCCCCAGCATCTTCTTGTAGCTGATAGACAGTTATTTCCCACTCTGTGGAGAACTCAGTGCACCCCTTCCTTGGTCCTGTGGCTGCATTTGGTAAATGCATTTGACGTTAGAAAAATTATTTTTCCCAGTGGACCATCTGGATTTTCTGTTTTTCATCAGAGGCCCTAAAGTGCAGATTACACACATCATAGACATGTCAAATGATATTTTGTTTCCTTTATTTACATTTCCATTCATGCCCCCCCCCCCCCTCCTCCTTCCCCCCTCCTCCTGCCTTTGCACCAAATTACCCCGGATTCTGCATCGCTAAGTACTTCTTTATCTTACAGCTTCCCTCCCTAGGTCTGCTATCTCATTGTCCTCTTAGCAACTCCATAACTGTTTCCTTTTTTTTTTTTTTTAATTTGCTCTTTTTTTGCCTTATGCTCTAATACTGCAATTGTTCATTTAAGAAATTAAGTTGGTACAGTACTTATATATAAAAGAACAATATTTTCATATTGTTCATGTTTCATGTTATTGGTCCAAATTGGCATCCACTACAGTCTGGCTTCTGCCCTACTCAAAATCACTAACAACCTGCTAACCACCAAAGCTAATGGCCACTACTCAGTCCTCTTACTCCTTGACCTCTCCGCGGCCTTCGACACAGTTGACCAACCCCTCCTCCTTAATAAACTACACTCCCTTGCATCAGAGACTCCGCTCTCTCCTGGCTCTCCTCCTATCTATCCCAACGCTCCTTCAGTGTTACCTATAAGGCTACCACCTCCCCCTCTCTTCCCCTCTCTGTTGGGGTCCCCCAAGGCTCTGTCCTCGGGCCCCTTCTCTTCTCCATCTACACCTCCTCCGTCGGCAAACTTATACACTCCCACGGCTTCAAATACCACCTCTACGCCGATGACACGCAAATTTACCTCTCCACCCCTCACCTCACCCCTTCAGTCTCTGCCCGTATCACCCACCTGCTGAACGACATATCAGAAAGGATGTCGCTCCAGTTCCTCAAACTGAACCTTTCCAAAACCGAGCTCCTAATCTTCCCCCCCCAGCCCGCACCCCCCTCCCCCACCCTCTCCATCATGACCAACAAGACCACCATCAGTCCCACCCTGCAAGCCAAAGTCCTAGGTGTCACTCTAGACTCAAACCTGTCCTTCCAACCCCATGTCCAATCGTTGGCAAACTCATGCAGGCTCCACCTCCGCAACATCTCCAAAATACGTTCGTTCCTAACCCCAGACACTACTAAACAACTCGTTCACTCCCTTATTATCTCACGTCTGGACTACTGCAACTCCCTTCTCACCGCCCTACCTCATCACAGACTATCCCCGCTTCAGTCTATCCTGAACTCAGCGGCCAGACTCATCCACCTTACCAACCGCTCCGCTTCTGCCACCCCCTCTGTCATTCCCTCCACTGGCTCCCGATTGCCCAACGCATTGAATTCAAACTACTAACACTGACATACAAAGCCATTCACAACGCTGCCCCAAACTACCTCACCGACCTGATACCCAAATACCACCCAACCCATAATCTTTGCTCCTCACAAGAACTCCTATTTTCTAGCTCCCTGGTCTCCAACTCCCACGCCCGACTGCAGGACTTCGCCAGGACTTCCCCATCCTCTGGAACTCACTACCCCAATCCATCAGACTCCTCACCTTTAGGCGCACCCTGAAAACCCATCTCTTCAGGGAAGCCTACCCCACCCTCACCTAACAGCCGAACTCCTCCACTCTTCCTACCACTCCATCCCCCATAGCCACTTCCTCCTGTACCACTTTCCCCTCCCTCCTAGATTGTAAGCTCGAAAGAGCAGGGCCCTCGAACCCCTCGTGTTTAGTTTTGTTACTGTATTGTCTCATGTTCTGTCCCCCACTATAATGTACAGCGCAGAGCAAACCTTTTGGGCGCACTATATAAATACTGTATAATAATAATCCTTGGACATGCTTTTACGTTGCCAATTCTTTTTTAAGTACTTTTGTTTTTTTTATTATTTTTTTGTAAGTTTTTGTGTCCCTTACTTTTGTAAACCTTTCTTTAATAATAACAATAAAATATATTTAACCTTAAACACAATTTAAATTAATGGATTGATGCTTTAGTTAAGGAAAAGCTTCTTCAGTTCTTGTGCTTTCACAAACAACAATCTGAACTGCCATTGGCAACTAGGTTTGAATGGTGCAAGCTGTCTTCCTATCCATACTACATTTACTGTCTAGTGCTGTGCTGGAACAAATACAGAGCTCAAGAGTTCTTGGCTTCACTGGCTACATACCTTTTCTACATTGATTGTCTAGGTAAAGCAAGGATAAGCATGACAGCCAAAGTAGCGAATGGTAGCTTCCAAATATCTATTCTGACAGGTTTTCTTTTCTTTAAAGTGTGCAATATGAAGGCTGAGGCCACACTTCACAGTTTAACACGCACTGAGCTGTTGGTGTGCGGCACCTTCAAACTGCACACTTAAGTATGCCTTTGGATGACCATTTGTGATAGCACTTCTTCAAAGTAATGGATCACCCAAGCACCTTTGCTGGCTCTCAGAGTGGATTCGGAGCGTGCCAGCTTATAATATCAGAAACCCAAAAGGTATTATAATTTAAATTCTTTCATGCTAATATACACAGTATATACTGTATGCCATGGAGATATGATGACAAAAGAGTCTAGAATAGACTACTAGGCTTGATTTGCAGAAGGAGACATCTTAGCACTACGTCTATACATTTTAACCTGAAGTGTAACCCCCCCAGCACGCTAAGATCATTGCCGGTGGCAGAAGCCAGCAGGGTGCTATACACATATTTCTGCAATTATTAAAGTACCCTGCTTTGGTACTCCTCTCAAAACACTCCTTCTTGATGCAAACAGTGGGTTGACTCTTGGAAGGACATATGCAAATATCAAATTACCTTGATGGATGGGTGTAAGTTTGAAGGAGCTGGTGTTCCTAGGCACACAGAATTTGCTTGCAAACTACCTTGGTAATGTCCACCTGTAATTCTAAGTCTCCATGGTTGAAATCACTGAAAAAGGAGTGGCCCATGGACAGTCAGGCTGAGAGGAAAGGGCTAGATTATGCTGGATGTCCGCCATGACAAAATGAAGTGTTCTGTCTAACCTGCAACTTTTAGTGCACATTTTGAGAAGCTCACAGTGTGTATTGAAATTAGTCTAGGCACCCGCACAAATTCTGGCAGCTGCAAAAACCACCCACACAGTGAGAATGCAGGACCCTTGGGCGGGTGCCATTAACCTTAATGGCATGCCGCCCGCTCTAAAAAATGCACCTGCACTGGGAATCTCGGTTCCTCTACGGGCTTCGATTTCTAAAGTAGGGCAGGGTCTTCTTTCCTGAGTGTCACAGGGTATGGCAGCTCATTCAAATGAATGAGCTATTGTGCCCACTTAAACTGCGCCCCCCCCATGGCTGTGTTGATATGAGCCTAGCCTGAAGGATAATGGATGTTTCATTGCAATTATAATGCCATAGAAAAGGATTATCATTATGTGGCAAAAACACGTTGGGAGAATTTGGAAGTTTTCAGAGCAAAAATGGTATATGACAGATTATAGCAATCAAAAATAATGTTCTCTTTTTTACACGTCAGATTATTTGAACAACTTGTAGGAGACGTGTTATAATGATATTGAAGAATCTTACCAGCAAACCATTGGTGCCATGGACAGTGACACAGCGAGAGAATGAATGATGAATTGAGATGTCTTTCACATAAGTGGGTGGGTGGTATCCACCCTTTTCATCCACATCACCAGTAGTATGGAAATGAACAGGGTAATGTCCCATCGTCTGCTGTCCCATGTGTTTCAGCTCTATTCCTTCCAAATGAACAGATTTAAAACCGCGTCCAACCTGAAATCGCAATTTACAATTAGATCACAGATTACAATTCAGTGTGAGACACATGTAACAAACATAATCTAGTTGTTCAAAAATGTCAGCTTTTGCCTTCCTCTTCCTTGCTGTTGCAGAGTACAATGCTAATCTAGGAGCATCATGGTCACCAGCAGCTGCACTGGATAACATGATAGGCTGCTAAAGATGGTGATTCTGTTGTTAGCTTCGGCCTGCCAAAAGTTGATAGAACAGGAACTGAGCTACAAATAGCTCGACACAGATCTTTCCTTAACTGCGATTTTCCTCAGCAACAAAAATGGTAAGGAGAGCAATTCTGCATTTGATACACATCGCTGCTACAAAATTGTTTACGTGACAAGGATTTTACTCTTACCAATCCATGCAAAGACCATGGTGGCAAATGTAAACTACCCTTGGATTTTATTTGGATGTATATGAATTCATTGCCTTTGCAGTCACTGATCCACAATAAGCATCTAGCAAAGGAAGTCATAACCCCCAATCTGAATGCCTGAACCAATTACTGGATCAAAATCCCAGCCAGGAAGCTAGCATGTTTAGAGGGTCAGCAATGGCAACCTATTTCCCCCAGTTTCGGTTTCCTGCACACATGTCTAAGACTAAATGATTGAGGTCAGAATTGTGGGCATGGAAAGTATCTAGGTCTCCATCCAGCTCTAGGAATCTCCCCAAAGCACACTTGTATTCTACAACTGGATCAATGATGATTGAAGGAAACTTTAGGAAACACCAAACCTTGTTCATGCATTATAGTCTATAGGAACCTGTGAGTTGTGATCAAACTGGTCTGTCAAATATAGATTTTTTTTTTTTTTTTTTTTAAATAAAAGCATTAATCTGATTGGTTAATTATGTTGTTTTGCAAACAGAACCACAGTTCTGTAAACATCAATGCTTGGTTCATAAGCTATGCCATGCTATAACAGATTGAACATACCTTCAGGTGACCTCCAAAGGTATCAAAGTTGTAGTATTTACACACAGCGCTGTTGTAAACATGTGTCCTCCATTTCTCCAAGAATGACAACATTCCTGCTGAGAAGACCAACTTCTGCTCGCATATCCACTCCATCCATCTCTTCTCCAATATGGAGATACTTTGCTGTTCCTAAAAGCCAACAGGAATTTTCATTAGCAGTGCATGAACTTGCTTTACAACAGGTTTTTTCACCTCAGACTTGGCAAAAACACTCTTTCAATTTAACTTGCAGAATCCCTTTGTAGATCCAATAACAACACACAGGCTAATGTCAATTCCTTTGCTCGGCACGCACACAAGTAAATTCCAATAAGATTTATCATTGCATGCACTAGGACAATTCTCAGTTTACAAAAATGGGAAGTCAACCTGGCTTATTGCTTTCTTTATAAGCAAATTAATGTCCAAATAAAGCAAAAACATTTTTTAATTGTTGGATGGAGTGGAGAAAGTTTTCCATTTCTCGATTTCTTGTGGTCTATGTCTTAGTCTTTTTCTCAATGTCTTGCTGTTGGGGTGATTACCATCATGTCCTTATCACCTGTTATGGGAAAGGAAATGAAGGAAAAGCTTTGCAAAGAAGACACAAACACATTTCTTTTGTAGAGTGACAACGGGCAAGAACTTGTGTTTTTCATCATGCCACTTCCCTTCTGCTAGTTTTGAAATACCTTTCCTATGACCATATATTGTTACACTGTCAAATATCTTGATTTTTAATTAAGTAAATCTAGAAGGCATTACAGATGCATGTACCTATTCTTCTAGACCAGTGGTCTCCAAACTGTGGCTTATGGGCTGGATGCAGCCCTTTGCTTGCTTTTATTCAGCCCTTGGAGCACTATTTCTCTCACTGATACAAAGCACTATTCCTTCCACTGACACCAATGATGGGGCACTATTCCTTCCACTGACATCAATGATGGGGCACTATTCCTTCCACTGACACCAATGATGGGGCACTATTCCTCCCACTGACACCAATGATGGGGCACTATTCCTTCCACTGACACCAATGATGGGGCACTATTCCTTCCACTGACATCAATGATGGGGCACTATTCCTTCCACTGACACCAATGATGGGGCACTATTCCTTCCACTGACATCAATGATGGGGCACTATTTCCTTCCACTGACACCAATGATGGGGCATTATTCCTTCCACTGACCTCTCACGATGGGGCACTATACCTCCTTCTGCTTACCACAGACACTATGTAAGTTTTTCACTTCAACTGAGCATTAAGCCTGAGGCATTTTCTACTCCCACTGTCAGTCTGCTCCCCTAAAATCTGAAGGACAGTAAACAGGCCCTTTAGAAAGTTTGGAGTTTTTCTAGATGCCATATCTAGAGTGGGATATGAAAATAACGCATACTCACTCGGATGGATGCAGCTTTGATCCAATGCTGCATCTGTCCCCTGCCACCTCTACACTGAGCACTGAGCAATCAAAGACCACTGATCACTCAGTTCTCTGTTCCCACTGAGCAGAGAACCGATGACTGTCAGTCACCGATTCTCTGCTCTACCCCTCTAGCGCTTACTGGAGTGGCAGGCTGTAGCAGCACTGGCTGGCTCAGGCTCTCAACAGCTCACTGACAGGCTGATCCCAACAAAGTCAGGATCTCTCCAGAGTCTAGACCAGCTTTGTGACATCAGCTGACAATGTGCTTTAGCCTGCTGTTAGCCGAATATGGGTCACAGGAGTGCAGAACATGGGTGACAGGAGTGAAGAACAAAGTGCACTCCTGTGATCTCAAGAAGTAAGGCCAAAAGAGCTTGGACCTTACTTCTCCTTTTAAGCTCAGGCAAGCACATGTACACTACAACTGTATGAAAATCAAACCAAGAAAACAGGTTGATTTGTATAAGGTGGTAATCATCATCATGCAGGTCTCATAGCAGGAAGTCTGAGAAATGCCATGTCATACTTTGTTGTGCATACACTTACAAAGCCCTGTAGAGCTGGAACTGAAGGATCTTTGATTAACAGGAATGCTAAAAGACATGGCGGACACAGAGCCAGACCTGTCTAGCTTTACCATTTGTCTACCTGCTTTGAAGCTGCAGATCACATATGGTCTCTGTTTCTCTCGCTCCTACTTGAATTCCATCATAAAATTCAATTGTCCACTAGAATTAGAGGATTACAAATCACAACAGTTTCAGCCTCTTTGAATGCAATGCTTGAAATGTCCGCTCCTTTATTATGTCTGGGATATCTACTGCATTCCTAGACCCTCTGCTTAACTTGCTGGGAGACTTTTGTTACAAATTCTGAAATTTTTATGGAGGCAGTATGTGGAATGCAGGTATAGAATATTAACCGTATTATATTATCTATTATATAACTTGGACAATAATATAGTTTAACAAGCTCCAGTGCTAGAAAGACAGATAATTATTTTAAAGAGTTCCAGGAAATTGGACAACCCAGTTTGGAAACAATTAACCGCTTCCTGTCCGCCCTATAGCAGAAATACTGCTTCAGGTCGGCACAGGTGCGCAAAATAACATGTGTTTGTATATATATATATATATATATATATATATATATATGTGTGTGTGTGTGTGTGTTATTTTTCAGCTCTGGTTAGGGGGCACGCGCGCTCTACCCTACCCGTGCCGCCATTTGCGGCTTCAGCTGTTAATCACCAGGTCCTGGCCGGTGATTACTCGCCGGCACCCGGTGATCGCCAAGTAATACCGATGGGGGGAGACAGCTGTATGTAAACAATACAGTTCTCTCCCCTGTCAGCTCCTGCACACTGCTTTGGATGGCTCTGCATAGCAGTGTGTTTACAGTGAAAAGCACACACACAGCACATAATGTGAAATAGCACACAGTTAACCCTTTGATCGCCCCAGATGTTAACCCCTTCCTGCCCAGAGGGGGTAAATCCTCTGGAGGGCAAGTGGTTAAAAGGAGCTACGTTATATGAAATGTAAAATTGGTTAGTCAGTATAGGGTCCCTGAGTGAGAAATTATCAAATTAAAAAATATATGTAGCATTTACAATTACGACTCATTTTATATTGTAGTTGAATGGTATTAAAAATTACGTTTCCCTTTCAATCTCCAGTGCTGTCATTTTCTGTAAAATGCAATGCAATATGGCTACCTGGAAGTGTTCTGTACACAGTGTGAATGTGTACAGAATGCCCCCTATAAAAAGTCATTTCCTGCTTGTGTGATTGGCTAACTGATCTTCCCAGAAGTCTGCACTAAGATACAAGTCAGATTTGTGGAATCCCCTGCAACAAAAATGTCATTTTTGGTGAGATACTCACTGGGGGAAATCAGGTCTAAAGGAATGCAGACCCTGCATTTCATCATTAGTAGGCTGCAGGTGCTGCAGCTGATTGATAATTTTAAAGCCACTCCCATACACATTCACTCTGCACATGAACACAAACAAACATCTACTAGAATAACAAAAGGTTGGAATCTGGAACAAAGTTTGTTAAAAATCCCTGCAATGTACATAGATCACCCAGAGGGGAATGTTTTTTTACCAACAAAAGTAAGTTACTCTTCATTGAATGCCTAGAGACAGACAGATGCAGTTGGAGAACAAATGTATTGAACTTTGTCATGGCCCATAATATACACCCTGAGGTCAGCATCGAACATTTCCCCCACTTCGTGCCCAAACATTCTGCATGTCTCAATATTGGTCAGGCGGGAGTGAAGGCATGAGCATAGCATCAGGGGTCGCAATTGCAACCTGACCTCTAGCTCCAGGGGGCCCGTGCAGCCTCCTCGACACATTAGCATACCTGCGCCACAAAATCCTGGAGTCCCACCCTGCACTCCGTCTGTAGCACCCTCCTGCACTCCGTACGTAGCACCCTCCTGGACCCTGCACTCCGTACGTAGCACCCACTTGGACCCTGCACTCCATACGTAGCATACTCCTGGACTCTACACTCTGTACGTAGCACCCTCCTGGTCCCTGCACACCGTACTTAGCACCCTCATGGACTCTGTACATAGCACCCTCCTGGTCCCTGCACACCGTACATAGCACCCTCCTGGACCCTGCACTCCGTACATAGCACCCTCGTGGACCCTGCACTCTGTACGTAGCACCCTCCTGGACTCTGCACACTGTACATAGCACGCTCCTGGACCCTGCACGCCGTACATACTACCCTCCTGGACCCTGCACGCCATACATACTACCCTCCTGGACCCTGCACTCCTTACATTTATACGTACCACCTTCCAGGACCCTGCACTCCGTACCTAGCACCCTCCTGGTATTTATTGTCCCTTTAAGATCCTCACACACACATTTGCTGCGGCATGCTCATGCCTCCCCTCCCCAGGGGAAGGTGATTGGAGTGGCTGAATACCTGCACCTGTTTTCCAAGAAAAAAAACCCTGGCCATTACTAGGATGGTTAGCGGAAAGGGGGCATGTCATGTGTAATTACCAGGAGGAATGTGTAATTACCAGGAGGAGAGTACATATCATTACCTAGAGGTGGGGGATATCTGTCACTACTTGTAGGGGAGAGGGTATGTGTCTTAACCAGGAGGGGGAGGCCTCTGTTATTACATTGGTGGGGCAAGGCATTTAATTTGTTACAAATGGGGGGGGAGAACATGTGTCATTAAGAGGAGTAAGGGTAGAGAATTTTAACCTTTCCGGAAGTGTTCAGAGATGGCAAATGCTGCCTGTAAAACAAAATCTGGTCATGAGTTGGCTTCAGAAGTGTGCATGCACAGTTCCAAAGGCAGCCAACTGTTGCTCAGGTTTATGGTGGAATCGGGCTCAGGACTGGTGCAGTGACGTCATGGTGCTTGGCACCTTTTCTGATGTGCAAGGCTGAATGCAAGGAGGAGAGCGGGAGCGCCACCCCAAGACTCACAGATGGGAGTGGCGGGTGGAAGCTGGGGGACCCAAGGACAACTTTTTCATCAGGGCCCACAAGCTTAAAGCTATGCTTCTGAATGAAGGAGTTGCTTTTTGCTCAGCACCACTTGAATATTACAAGCCAGGAGCAAGCTTAGGACATATACATATATAAACACATACACACAGCATGTGAAATATTAGGTACACCTCATGAAAAATGTTGGCCTTTTCAATATATTCAAACAGGCAAACGTTAGAGCCCACAG